AGCCGGCCCTCGGGCGATGAGTCGCTGCATCTCCTTCTGAAGAGTGAAGCATTCCTTAGTGTTGTGAGTGTTGTTGCGGTGATACTCGCAGTACTTGGCGCCGCTGGACACCGCATAGGTCTCCACGTGCGGGAGCGGGGAGAGGGCCAGCTCTCGACCCGTCCCCGCGGGCGCACCCACGGAGTACACACCCGCCGAGGGCGTCCTCGGGCCCACAATGTGGTCTTTCTTCTTCTTCCTCTTCTTCGCTATCTCCTCTGAATCTGCGGGAGCTCGCTTGGTCGGCGCGGCCTCAGAGTCGGGGGCATCATCGAACTCCTCCGAGGCCAAGAACTTAGCGCGCGCCAAGGTTTCTTGGTACGTGGGGGGAGGATTCTTGCGGAGCTCCTTCCTCACCTCTCCGCAAGGAAGGGCTGCTTGGAACATGGCCACCAAAGCTTGGTCATCCGCCCCGTGCACGTCTCTAGTCTCCTTCTCCCATCGGATTATGAAGTCGCGGACCTTCTCTCCCTTGCGGATGCATATGCTGAGCAGATGGGAGTAAGGTAGTCTCTACCTTCGGTTGGCCGCGAAATGCGTCAAGAACTTTTCCGCTAGCGTATCCCAATCGTCAATGGTTCCCTTCGGGAGCCGGTTGAACCAATCGCACGCGGAGCCCTCTAGCGTCGCGAGAAAGCATCGGCACTTGACCTCGTCCGAGGCTGCCGCCGCTTCCATGGAAGCGTAGAACTTGGACAAATGATCTTGGGGGTTCGTCGTTCCGTTGTAGGCCTTGATCTGCCACGACCGAAAGTTTGCCGGTAGTGGAATCGACATGACCCTCGGAGTGAACGGGGTTACCGTCCGCAAGATGGGCTGGCTGTATGGAGCCCTGGTCTCCACTCGACACTTGAGCTCGGCAATCTCACGAGCGAGCCGAGATACCCCTTGGTCAGAGACCTTCGTCTTCTCAGTTCTCGTCGGGCTATGGCGATGCTGGGTGCGCTCGTCACGCCTTTCTCCGCTCCGCTCGGGCCTCGCCGAGCGAGCATTTGATGTCGCGGACATTTGTCACGCCTTTCTCCGCTCCGCTCCGCTCCGCTCGGGCCTCGTCACGCCTTTCTCCGCTCGTCACGCCTTTCTCCGCCTGCCTTCGGTTATTTGTCGGCGGAGGTCGCCCGGGCGAACTTCCGGTCCGCGGTCGAGCCTGTCGAAGGCCGACACCCGGGTCTCTTCCCCTCCTAAGCGTCTGAAGGCTGACACTCGGCACTCACTGGACTCATCGTCCTCCTCCTCCGGGACGTCCTCCACAACCACCTCCTCGATCGCCAGGGCCTTGCCGGGCCTCCTTCTGCTCCTCCAACTCTTCTTCCCCTTGTGTTGGGAAGTGGCAGCGTGTTCGGCGTGGGAGCCGAGCGGAGCTTTGCCAGCTCCGGCGCCGGCCACGTTTCCACCCTAGCCGAACAGCGCCTGGACCGCGTCCGGAGTCGAGCCGATACCTCCTGTACCGTTGCCGCTGCCCGGTGCGTTCTCCTCGCCAACTACGTGGCTGGTGGTGGGGACGTTTCTTCTTCTTTGCACCATTCTCGCGTTCGGGAGTTAACCTACGAGTATGTTCCTCTCCTCTCAATGAAAGCACCAATTTGATGGCTATAAACCACCGAGAGTATAAAATAATAGAAGTTTTAGAGAGAGAGAATGCAAAGTAAGAGTATATTGATTTCAAAATCGGGATCCATTACAATGAGGGTTGCCACCCCTTTTATAGGGGGTACAATAAGCTAAGTCAAAGCTCTCTAATCGATGTCCGTCGTCTAGCGGACGTCACATGTCCTTACGTCTTGTCCCTTTCATCCTATCGCTTTCCTCAAGTCTCCGTTGAACGTCGCTTTCCGCATGTCATTGTCGCGGGGCTCGGGCTCGGCTTGGTTGGCCGAGCCGAGCAGGGAGGACGAGCGGAGCGCAGAGCCGGGCAGGAAGGACGGGCGGAGCGCAGAGCCGGACAGGAAGGACGAGCGGAGCGCAGAGCCGGACAGAAACGTTCAAAACCGATACTTAGGAAATTTGTGCTGATGTCCGTCTTAGGCCGGTGTGGGGTTATTCCCCATCATGGAACTTATTGCAATTTGTCCATTCATTTTTGTGAATTGTGATAGTGTCACCGGTTTAATGCGGTGGTTCTACGTCAACTAATTAACACTCACTCCTAAAGCCAATCATTATCTGCCAAGTGGCCTCGTCCTAACTTCGGCCATGGACCACCCGCTTAAATTTTAAATTTTCCTTTTCCACGAAAGATTTTTTTCCTACAAATCTCACCGGATTCAATTTATTTCCATTATTGTTTTTGTTATTTTATTTCATTTATTTCTTTTTTCGTTTAAAAGACAGAACTCGAAAAGCGAATTTATCGTCGTTTCCGCATTATCAGGTTCTGCAAGATTATAGACCCGTTTCTGTGATTCTTGCTCCATTTTGAAAAAAAACCCTAGCAAAATATTCGATTTTGTTCTTGATTTTGTATGGTAATTGGTAATTGTTTCGGGTTTGAATTAGTTTCCGAATTTCTTTTCTTTAATTTGATTAAAGAAATAAATTGTGATCGGAGAAGAAGGTGAGGGGTTCGCCTGCCGGGGATGGGTATTTGCACTTCCAAACCCTTTATAGAACCCAATGATTCCGGGAATGATCAGCCGGCGGAAAGTTCTGTTCCGGCGAAGGAGAAACTGGAGAACGGCGAGAATCAGAGCTGCCACACGAATGTAAAGAAGGGGGAAGTTGAGGCCGGCAAGAAGTCTCCGTTGTTCCCGTTTTACAGTCCGAGCCCGGCGCACTACCTGTTCTCTAAGAAGTCTCCGGCGAGATCCCCGGCGAATGGCCCTAGCTCCAACTCCACGCCGAGGAGATTTTTCCGGCGGCCGTTCCCTCCGCCGTCCCCTGCCAAGCACATCCGAGCTGTTCTTGCACGAAGGCATGGCTCTGTGAAGCCGAACGGGGCTGCAATTCCAGAAGGGGCAGAGCCAGAGGGGGGTCGACTGGACAAAAGTTTTGGGTTTTCGAAGAATTTGGGAACCAAGTACGAGCTTGGAGAGGAGGTTGGCCGAGGGCATTTTGGGTATACTTGCAGGGCTAAGTTCAAGAAGGGCGAGCTGAAGGGTCAAGATGTTGCAGTCAAGGTCATCCCCAAAGCAAAGGTGAGGTTCAACATCTTTCTCAACTCCCATTCTTGGTTTTAGTTTGAATTTGTCTCAATTTTATCTGGTAATTATTACTCCGCAGTATTAATATATTTAGAATTGACTTTAGCTATTACAAACTACAACTTGTGGATAACTGAAACTGGATCTCTTCACGGAACTGTTTTTGACTTTGTCACATTTGACTAATTTCTGATTGGTTTTGTCCCTGTTCATTTACTCAGGCTTTCTTCTGTATGATGTTTGTTGTTTTCTAGCATAAGTTAGAACATTTTTTTATAGTTATTTCTTTTTATGGGATAAATTTTACCCTTTAACACTATGTTTGGTTCAAGGAATTTGGAAGAAAAGAAAAGAAACATGTTTTCCCTCATTTTCCTCATCAAAATGGGAGGAATTTTGTTTTCCTTCCTTTTATTACATTTTGCCTTCTCATTTTTTTCCCTTCCACTTTTTTTCTTCTTTTCCTCTCTAACCAAACAAGAAAAATGTTTTCCTTCTCATTTTCATTTCCTTTCCCTCTCAAATTCCTTGAACCAAACATAGTGTAAGAGTTCTTGAAAACTGCTCAATAACTTACTCTGAATTGTTGCATATTATGTTCTTTCATTTTATGCTTAATAGTTCCAAATATTTGATTGATCTTTGGATGGCAGTAATGTGCTCTTCTTTTTCCTGCATACTGTGTTTGCAGGAGTATGTGGATTAACTGCCAGTTCTGTGTTAATTGTTATGCATAGTTTGCTGATTGTGATTTTGTCTAACTGTGATTCTAACTTCGTCTTCCAGATGACAACTGCTATTGCCATTGAAGATGTCAGAAGGGAGGTGATAATATTGAGAGCTTTGACTGGACATAACAACTTAGTACAGTTCTATGATGCATATGAAGACAATGATAATGTCTACATAGTAATGGAGTAAGCTCTAACTGCTTGAGATCATAACATTAAGTAATGCCGTGTGTGATACTTGTCAGTTTCATGTCATGGAGGATTTCATTTGATTCACTTTTAAGTTCATTTTGCAAATCATTATACTATGTCTTGTGCGTAATTTTTAACATTTCTAGGAATGCTGTTTCACTTGCTTGTTTTTATGTTCGATTTTGTTTTGTTATCCTTTGGGCTGCCTCTTATCAAGCATTAATATTCTCCTCTGTCTTTTAGGCTTTGTGAAGGAGGGGAGCTTTTGGATAGAATATTGGCAAGGTAATTTCTTTTGAGTCAGGTCTATTCAAGTCATTTGGTTTTTCCACTCTTGAGCTTGTTAATGCAAAAAATTTTAATTTTTATGTGTGAGGGTCCTTCAATTTCCATTAGTGTATTAAAAAAAGATTTTTTTTCTAATGCAGAGGTGGAAAATACACAGAAGATGATGCAAAAGTTGTGTTAGTACAGATATTAAATGTTGTGTCCTTTTGTCATTTACAAGGTGTAGTGCACCGGGACCTCAAGCCCGAGGTTGGTGAAATTCCAGTTGTTTCTATGATTGCTTTAAATTTGCATTTTTATTTTATTATGCTATGTTTTTAACCGTAGCTTGTTGCTGGACCAGAATTTTTTATTCACTTCCAAGGATGAAAACGCAGTCCTGAAAGCCATAGATTTTGGATTGTCTGATTTTGTAAAGCCAGGTGTGTCTCTTTCAGATATCAAATGTCTTGTCTCTTTTGTCATTTACATATTATGTATATCCTCCCTCCGTCCCAAAATTGAAATCACCAACACTATTCAATGATCAATTTTTCTCTTTTCACTTATCTTCGTTAATCATTTGTTAAAATAACATACCCATGTCACTTTTAATTTATTTTAAAATTTTGTACCATTATATAAATAAATTGAGTTGAAAAGGAATTCTGTCAACCATTGTAATCCCTTTTGTGACTTTAGTTTTGGGATGGAGGGAGGGAATAATAATCACATGCCCACAAAATGGGTCTTTCCCATAAACTCATTGTCTGACCCATATTCATCATGACCTTTCAGATGAAAGGCTGAATGATATTGTTGGGAGTGCCTATTATGTAGCCCCTGAAGTCCTACATAGATCTTACAGTACAGAGGCTGATGTTTGGAGCATTGGTGTCATAGCATATATTCTGTTGTGTGGCAGTCGTCCGTTTTGGGCTCGAACTGAATCCGGTATCTTTCGGGCTGTCCTAAAAGCCAATCCGAGTTTTGAAGAACAGCCCTGGCCTACCCTCTCTCCTGAGGCAAAAGACTTTGTCAAGCGTTTGTTAAATAAGGATCCACGCAAAAGAATGACTGCCGCTCAAGCCTTGAGTATGTTGCTTTGCTTATAATAAAGTGCAGCATTATGTTATTTCTATGAATAAGTTTTGTTTGGTTAGGCCAACTTATTGAATATGCTTAATTGAGTAACTCCTCAAATAAGCTAATGACTTTTTTTTTGTATAAAGTTCCATTTTAACCTCATTTGTATTTTAAAATGAATTAATAAACAAACCTGTGTGTCATTTCATGTTTCTAAACCAGCCTATCAATATTGTTGCCTAAAAATGTATGAGATCAGCTAGCTTATCAGCTACTTTGTAAAAGTTATAAGCTATCAACTATTAGATAGAAATTAACTTATCAGCTATCAATAGCTATTCATCTTATTTTTCCAAACTTAACTTTAGTATCTTATGCCTTTTCAGGTCATCCTTGGATAAAAAACAGTAGCAACCCAAAAGTCCCTTTGGATATACTAATATTCAAACTCATGAAGGCTTACATGAAATCATCTGCTCTGAGGAAAGCTGCTTTGCGGGTATACGTCTGTGCCACTATTAGAAAAAAAGTAATTTTTGCAAAAAAATTATCTATATATATCCTATAGTGCTTGCTGTGTTCCTTGCAGGCTTTATCCAAGACCTTGACTGTGGATGAGCTTTTTTATTTGAAGGAGCAGTTTTCTCTGTTGGAACCTAGCAAAAATGGCACCATATGTTTGGAAAATATTAAAACGGTTAGATTTGATAAATATATTTGACGCGATTAGCGCTATCGACTTGTGGCATTTTCTCATGAC